GACTCACTTAAGCCAGAAAACCCATGGAAAAGAGAAACCAAGTGTGACGTTGGATGCATCACAAAATCTTCTTTACTGGGGAAGGGGACAGAGCACCTGCTTGTCCCCCCCAAGCCTTACATCCTTCACCAGATCAGAAGAAATTCCAGAAGCCAGGATGTTCACTTGTTGGCCACAGAGCAATAAATATGCTCCCAGAAATAGAAAAAAAAAAAATTCTTCTCCTGGGAAGACAGCCACTWCTTCCTTTACAGGGGCTTAAAAGGGTGGGCTCGGGGTACAATGGGTGGCTGCATAAATCCACATGGAAAAGCATCCTAACCCAGCTGGAGCAACAGCAGAAAGAATGACAACCCCCAWCTGAGAAGGGGTGGGATGGGAAAATTTGTGGCTAAAGCCTGGAAAAGCCTGGAAAACTTAAAGTGAAGCACTGTTTGCTGGCTCTGGAATAAATGCCCTTAAAGACCACAAGCCCRCCCAAATTCACCAGCCCCAGCATGAACCGTGTCCCTGCAAGTTCACAGCCTCAGCCCAATCCCAAAAGGAGGGTTCAGAAGGTGTGGATTACRTGCTAAAAAAAAATCTAATTCCTGTATGTAGGTGAAATATGTATTTCTAGCTGTGCTGCTCTGTCATTTCTGCTCACATAGTAACRCCAGGCACTGTATAAAAAGAAAGGAATGCCAAACAGTTTGTGCTGGTGGCCAAAATTGGCTTGAGGAACTCCCAGAATAAAGCAACTAAAAAAGAAATAAGCCMAAAWAAAAWTTAAAWTTAAAAAAAGGCACAAAAACAAGGCATTTCTTCCAACCCAGCAGCAGCAGTAAGTGGTACCAGGAGAAAACAACAAATGCTGGCACCGAAAACCAGATTTAAATTGGCTCAAAGGAAATCTGAAGGGCAACGGGCCAARGGTATTAAAAAATAAGCGCTTCCCCAAGCGTATCAAAGGTAGGAAACCCACAGGCAGAGCAGATGCCAGGGATAAGGAGGTAACAGAGCCATTTAAAGGAATTAAAGCGCTGTGGCAGCAAGTTACYGATGCTGAACTGCGCTCAGAAAGCCAAGAGGCTCTGAGCACTTGAGTGAAAGAAAAAAAAAAAAGACGTCCCCCTGCAAAAAGATGCTCGGTGGGAGCCAGACTGCATCTAACAGCGATTTCAGCAGGTGCTCGAGCTTCCACAGCRTCGTTTAAGAGTGGGAAATGCAGAAGAAAGGCTCCTGAGCAGTGCCAGGGTAAAACATGGGCAGGCAAGGATGGAGCAGCATCACCWGGAGGGTGGGTCCCCACTCTGGAGCTGGGCACAGCCCGTGATGTGACAGCGTCTGAGCGGGAAACAGCTCAGGTACAGGACTGGCAATGTCCCCGAGACTTTTAAATAAACTTTGGTGCCCAGACCACCCCGATGCAGAGGGTGGATAACACCCGTGAGGAAAGGAGAGGTGCCGCATCCGAGGGCTAAAGGGCAACACGTGGCACAGACACCTCAATCAACACCAAAAAATCGGGTTCAGGACACCGCCTCTTCAGAGGAAACCGCGTTGAAACCACAAACCACCCCGCCAGCCTCCAGCTCACCAGTCCGTCGCAGTTGCTGATGGCCACGGCGGCTCCAGGCATGCCGGAGATGTCGCCGGTGAAAAGGCACCGCTGCTGGAGGGGTTCCCGGAAAAGCACCTCAAAATCCTCCTGCCACTCGGCCACGGCTCCCGGCGGCACCAGGCGGCGGTTGGGCCTCAGCCGGAGGTGCAGCTCCTTCCCAAAAACCGTGACATTGAAGTAGAGCAAGCGGCGCTGGGGGGGCTCGCCCGGGGGGCTGCGGGGGACGCGGCGGCGGGACGGGTCCGGCTCCCGGGGACAGTCCGGCTCCCGGGGACAGCCCGCCCGGCCCAGCCCCGCCGCAGCCTCCCCGGACACCACGTGCGACAGGAAGCGACCCCGGCAGTCGGTGCTGAACGGGACGATCACACCATACTCGCTGAGTTTGCCGGACAGGAGCAGCTCTGCGGAGACAGCGCCGAGGGAAGGGTGGGCACCGAGCATCCCGCTCCGGCGCCCCGATGGCGGCGGCCGAGCCAGCCGGGGGAGSCTTTGGAGAGCACCGCCGGAGCTCCATAAACCCAACAGCTGCTTTYCCGTCCCGACCCAGCTCCGCTTTGTAGTTTTAAGCGGGTGCGTCCAGCGTAGCAGAAGGAACTCGGGCTGACGTCCCCTCGCACGCCAAGCACGACAAGTATTTCTCGCCCAGCCTCCATCTCCCCCGATTCCCATTGAAACCTTACCCCCCCACCGGCGGATTCCCTCTCCCTTTTTCCCACCCTCCGGGGTGCAGCCACCTGTCAACCCCCCCCCGCCCGGCCCCATCGCCTCCACCCCGGGCCCCCCGTCCGCGGGGCAGCGGCCGTACCTGGGGCGCTGCTGGCGGCCAGGCAGCCGTGCAGGGGGACGAGGCAGGAGAGCACTAGCCGCAGATAATCCATTTGGGGCCGGCGGCTGGATGCGGCGGGATGCGGGGCCGGCGGGATGCGGGATGCGGGGCGGGCGGCGCCCGGCGACCGCCTCCCCCCGCCGCCGCCGCCGGGGCCGCCGGCGC